CTGGCCTCAAGTGATCCTCCCACCTCGGCCTCCCAAAGTGCTGGGATTACAGGCATGAGCTGCAATCTTTTGGGGTCACTAACTCCTTTGTGAATCCAAAATCCATAGATCTTCCCAGAAAATGCCCACACACCCATGTTTGCATACAGTTTCAGAATTTGTAGACCCCAGATTTAAAAAAAATTTTCTTTCTTTCTTTCTTTTTTTTTTTTTTTGAGACAGTCTCTGTCACCCCTGGTAGAGGGCAGTGGTGTCATTGTAGCTCACTGCAGCCTCAAACTCCTGGGCTCAGGTGAGCCTCCTGCCTCAGCCCCCTGAGTAGCTGGGACTACGGGTGTACACCACCACGTCTGGCTAATTTTTCTATTTTTAGTAGAGACACAGTGTCACTCTTGCTCAGGCTGTTTTCGAACTCCTCAGCTCAGGTGATCCTCCCACCTTGGCTTCCCAAAGTGGTAGGATTACAGGCATGATTACATCACGCTTGGCCAAAAATTTTTTTTAATTATAACCCCAAAGAAACAACTGCATGCAGCCAGAACTGAAGGAAAAACCTTCCCCATAGGCAACTGATAAGTTAGAGGGCAGAGTTTTTTGTTTGTTGTTTTTAAAGGCAGTCGTGGGGAGGTGAGGAGACTTCCATTGGTTAAACTTTTTGAGTGGGAGAGCTTTGCACTGAAGGTAATGCTTGGTGTTTGAAAATGTTGCCAGTATCCAGAGGCAACATGAATAGAAAAGACTCTGGAGCTAGAAACTTTCCTGCAGGCCATACTTTCTCACCTCCTCCAGGGCTTTCTCCGACCTGCGGAAGACAAACCTATTGACCTTTTCCTTTCTGTAGGTGGAGGTTCGGCCCATGATGTACGTGGCATTGACTTACGATCACCGGCTGATTGATGGCAGAGAGGCCGTGACTTTCCTCCGCAAAATCAAGGCAGCAGTAGAGGATCCCAGAGTCCTCCTCCTGGACCTTTAGGAGGAAGTCACATGCCCTACAAATCGGTCATGCAGGAACTGAAAACCAGTCTTCTCCCTGTCCCCTTACGGGTCCCAGGTTAGCCTGGTGACAGGCAGGCATATGCTGTTGGCCTCAAGCAAGGAAGCAGGGCACTATCTAACCAGCAGTTGAAGGTCTTTTCTTGGTGTTCCTGCCAGGCGCTCTCCCTCTCTCTACCCATCTCTTACCCACAAATATCTTATTTCCTTGGGCTTGAGAGAGAGAGTGCCTTAATGGATGCTCATTATATTCCTGCCTTTCTTCAATCAGCACTCTGCAAAGGTGATTTTGCTTCTACCCAGTACCAGTACACTATAGGGAAACCACCGGGACCATGTGATTATGTTTCTATCTTTTGAAAGTCTGCTCTCCAGAGATGTCTAGGAGGATGCTGTGCCTCCCAAGCTCACTGCAGCCTGTGTCCTGGCTGTGCACGTTCTCACTTGACTCCACCTGTGTGGAGGTATTAAACACAGGTGAAGAGGTGCTGCTTTGCTTCTTAAACGGCACCTTCATTCTCAGCTGTCATTGACTTCAAGATGCCTCTTCTACCTCTTCCAGGAAGCACAGGCCAGGGGATTGTTGAGTGGGGGGAGAGGGCAGAGGCCCCCTGAGGTCATACGTTGTAATCATAGATGGGGCAGAGCAGGCCTGCCCTCACACTCTCCGTCATAGGCTCATGCCAGGAAGGTGCGTTTGGCACAATCACATGTTGCTATAGTCGTGCCAACCCTTTCCAGGCTGCTAAGAACCATTCTAGCACATTGTTCTCATTTAGAGTAGATTCTGGCACATCATGGCAGTGGGACTGAGCGTGGGGGAGCCTGGTATGGAGACTGGGGAGGGGAGGCCTCCTCTGGATTGGCTCAGATTGACTTGAGCTTTTAAATTCAAGTTGGTGTAAGCACGTGGACTGAGGAGGTGGTTCTGTTCCTTCCTGCGTTCTAGCCTGTAGGGAGCAGAGCCTTGGCTCTTCCTCTGCAGGACACAGGTCTGGGGGAGGATGGACTGTGGTAGAAACCAGCCTCGAGGTGTTAGTACACAGTGGTGAAATGGCTTTAGGTCTCTAAGGTCGTGCCCTTGGGTTGGGGCACAATCATTGGAATTCCTTGGAGAATGGTTAAATGCAAGTATCTTGTCATGAAAGCTACTGAGATTCATGGCTTTGTATCCAACCACATCCAGGCCCGAGGCTGCTGACACTTGACACTGGGGCCAGTTAGTGTAGAGTGCCCTTTTGTATCTTGAGCCAAGGAGCAAGGCCTGGGATGGGGGTAGGGGGGAGGGTGGGAGCCAATACTGAGTGCCTGCAGCATCTGCTAAGTCTTCACTATTCAGAACTTGTAACTAAAGTATTTAAAGAAACTGATTTTAAATGCAAATTAAAGGGCAAATGTTCTCAAACAGGGTTCCTGCATCTGTGTTCCTTTTGGTTACTAAGCTTATATAAGTCCCCAGCACTGTTGCTCCAGATGGTTGTTGTTAGCATTGAAAGCCACTTAATGCCCCATCCATTATCCTGATATTCCATACTTTTGAAGTAAGTGCTGTACTAATTTGACAAAAGGAGAACCCTGACTGCAGCCAGGAAAGCTTAATAGTCTCAGTCCCCTGCTTCCTTCCAATGAGCCCCTTGAGCCTGTCAAGCCATGTTCTTGAAGACAAATAGGGGTCCCCACCTTTGTGAAGCCCCTCCAAAACACCAGTAGACATTTGCATTTTTGTGGGGGACTTGCCTTATTTCTGGGTTAGCCTGGGGGAGGTGTGGGGGCATCTCATAGTTTCATTTGGATTTGACTGCCACATGGGTACCAAGATACTCAAGGTCTGTGTGAACAAATGAGGGTAGCTCACCTCCCTCTGGAGCAATGGTGTGTGAGAGTGGACAGGGTTGGTGGCTATCCTAGACTGACTGCAGGTGACAGGCCTGATGGTGTCCCAGTTGAAACACAGCCTTAGCTTTCCACGCAGTTTCTGTCTGCTGGGCTCACTTGCAGTGAGGCTGTCCCTCATTGAAGGTCTGTCACAGGAAGGAAGTGGGTCCCAGAGGGTAGAACTTACAGCTAGTAGGTAGAAAAAATTAAGTTCAATGAAAAGAAGAACTTCAAAATCATCTGCCAGGTCCAGGGCTTGGTGCTAGAAGCTTTAGTTTCTCTAGTAAACCTACAGAGTAGGTATTTGTCCCATTTTTTCCAAAAGGTCAGCCAACTGGACAGTATTTGGAACTAGGAGCCTCACAAAGCGCTGGGTGTGCGGTGTGCGTTGGATGGATGAGGCCCAGAAGCGACTTACACTTCGTGAAGCAGCGGTTGCAAGTGGTCTGGCCTGACTTAGGGAGTATAGCCGAAGGAACACTAACTTGTGAACCTGCTCTACCAGGCTCCGATTAGGTTGTGGCTTTAACCTCCTTAAGCCTGTTTTCTCAGGAGCTACTGTCTATCTCAAGGGGTCACTGTGAGGATTAAACTAGTATTCCCCCCAGGCACCATGACCTTCTCCCAAGGTTTTTCTTCTTCCACAGAGCTCAGTCCTCACCCCCACACCCAGTCACCACTTCCCCTGAGGCCTGGGGCTGCTCAGCAGGGGCAGGGGTGAGGAGATGCCACTTGCCACCATTTCTGCTTCCTTGCAGCCTCCAAGCTCACTCTCTGGTGGAGCTTCTCTGGGGGAGCCTTCCAATCTTGCATTAATGGACCAAGGACACCACAGGCAAGAGCAGGCTTTACTGGGGGGCTAGGCAAATCCCAGGGAAAGCCAGCACGTGCACCACAGGGAATCATACACAGGCTGTGCTTTACCATGTCCTCTCTACCCCCAGAGTCTGTCCTGAGGACCCTGAGGTGCACTGTGGTGCCTCCCCAGGGCACAAGTCTCTGGGTTAAGAATTGAGCCTTCAGAGCCAGACTGGTGAACAGTGTCAGAGGCGCCATCTGGTGGTGACAGACATTGGCGGGAAAGGATCTGGGGGCAACTGTAATGGAAGTTTCTCAGGTGCCATACCCCAGTGATAGTGTGAGTTCTGAGAGGAGCCCCCAAAGCTGAGGGGATTGTCTTTGGGGTAACCACTCACCCCAGTTCTTCAGAGACCAGAAACATCTTACTTCAGGCTGAGTGTGGGTAATTGTTCCATGTGTTTGGTGGTTTCTCATTCCAAAAGGGTATGAGGTCACAGTGGGCAGTGATTTAGTGGAACCTCAAGACCAGAATGCAGAATGGTCCGCAGAACCAGTGCCTGAGAAGGGAATCCTCATGGGCACGACCTGTCTTAGCTGCTTTCGCCTGGAGGCTGAGTTGCCATGTCCCCTCAGACCCCTGTAGCAGGCTCCCCACTCCCCCACACAGGTGGGCCAGCTGGGGGCGCAAAATCCTCTTTATTCTGTTTTCAAACTTATTCTGAGTGGCAGAGCTGTGCATTCCCCTCCTTCCCCCCATTCCTCTCCTCTATTTTCCTCGCCACCCTTCCTTTTACTTTCCAAAGTCTGAAATCACAAGATAGGGGGCATTGTCAAGAGTGGGAGTGGATCATCCTGTCCCCACCCCACACTGCAGATTCCTTCCCAGCCTCCCCCAGGCCCCGCCGCCCACCACCACAGGAACGGCTTCTGGTGGAAGAGGCCCACTGGTTGCAAGACAACCAGCCAGGACAGCCTGGCTTGGGTCCACTGAGCCCGTGGATCAGTATCCTGAGGTGAATCTCCAGAGATGACCCAAGTGGGGCACAGCATGGCAGTGCGTGAGTCACAAAACCTTGGGGTAGGTTCAGCAGGTGGTCAGTAGTTCAGAGCCAGTGCCACAGAAGGCACCCTTTAACATGGCAGGTCCGCGTTAAAGGTACAAGGCATCGCGCAATGGGTGTCTGCTGACGGCGGGTGGGAGGTGCAGGCTGCTTAGCAGGGTGAGCCTCACTGCCCCTCCCCCTCCGCTTCTCCAGGAGCTGGCCCTTCTGAGGCCCAGGGGGAGCCCTGGGTGACAGGCAGAGAGAAGAGAAGAGATCCAGACCAGGCCAGCTGCTTCCATCACCCATTGAGCCCCTCTTACCCCACCAGTTTGCTCCACTGAATAGCACTGAAAAAGGGGTGGGACTTGAGCTTGCTGACACCACTGCCTCCAGCGCCCAGGCGCAGGGTGGGATCGAACTGCAGCAGCTGTAGAGAGAGGCCCGGTCAGCTCTCTGGGCAGGCCTTCCCCACTCCCACCACTGAGGCATGGCTGACTCCAGGCACGCCCATCGCCATGGCTCCTAGGGGGCTTGCTACCTACCAGCCCGGCCCATAGAACACCCATTTTTACCGTGGGGGACATGGTGGCGTTTGACCACCACCACATAGAAATTTGTTGTCCCTACTGCCTTCCTGCACCTGTATCAGACGCTGAGTAGGAAGCATACACAGTTCACACACGGTTCTCCCCTCCAGCCCCCACCCTTAGGCCAAGAAGCCGCCTCCTCTAGGCTGGGCCCCGTCTCACCTCAGTCAGCAGGGAGGCTGCTGGGCGACTGAGCCACTCGGGTAGCTGGAGCTGGGTGTGGGCCTGGATTCCTGAGGGGTGGCTCTGGGACAGTGCCTGGGAGGACACAGGGAAGGGCCTCTGAAGAGGCATCCCCAGGAAAGTCTGTGCACCCCTCCCCCGGATGACGATGGCGATAGTTGCCTTTTGCTTTGCATTTACTGTGTGCCGGACACTGCTAAATGCCTGACATACGTTAGCCATTAAAGACGAGAAGCGGGCTCAGAGAGGTAAAGGCACTTATGCTGAGTTCAGGGTTTGAACCCGGGCCCCTCTGGCTCCAAACTTGCTAGAAGCATCAATCTGGGGTTACAGTTAGGGTGGTACTCTATTGGGAACAGCACTGGAACTTTTCTCCATACAAAAAATATCCCCGGGGCTACTCACTTCACAGCAGGCCATGGCATGCTACCATCAGGGCCAAGCAGGGGCGTGGCAAGAAAAGAAAGTAGGACCTCTCCACACCCCAGAAAGGTGCAGCTTTGGAGAGAGAGGGGGTCTGTCTGGAGGTAAGTATGGGCTTCACGGAACTCCCAGGAAGGCCAGGAGCTGTGGGCTGGAGAGGTGGTGGGAGACCAGGAACAGAGAGCCATTCTGGGGTTATTGGCAACCAGGGCTCTCAGAAGCCCTGGGCTGTGGGACAAAAACAGGAGGGAGCCAGGATGGACCGGTCAGATCTGGACTTCAGGTCACACTGCATCCATGCTGGCTGTTTCCTGCTCAAATGCAGTTTGGCCTCTCCCTTGCTGCCTAACATAACTGGCTTCAGATGCGAACTGAGCTTGTCGGGGGTGCCAGGCAGAGGCGGGGAAGACAGGGCAGGGCCGTCATCCCGTGCAAGGGTGTTTGTAGGGGGAACTTTGAGCTCTTGGCTGACCCAGGCTGGACAGGATGGCTGCTGGCCTGAATGAAAGAGCCCCTGTCTCCCATCCTGCAGCTGAGGTCTCGGGGTTACAGCCCCAGAGGGCGTGGGTGGGAGGAGTGAGCAGTGGGGAGAGGAGGCACAGGGGACGATCCAGTGGCCTCCCAGGGAAGAAGGGCTGTGTCATATTCTACACTCCCTTCAAACCTAGGCCCAGGCTCTGTCTTCTAGAAACCTTCCCTGACCATCTCAACTCGGCTCTCATTCGCGTAAGTTGACAGTCTCATTAGCTGTAGCCACTAGTGTGGTCAGTGTGCTGAGTGTCTCCATGGCCTGGGGTGTGGCTGTGCTGGCAGGACACCCAGCCCAATGGCCAAGTGTTAGAGAACCAGAGAACTGGCCTCTGCCCAGACACTGGTTGGATGGACCAAGCCCTGTCTATTGCTCACTCAGTGGCACCCACCAGGGCTCTACCTCTGGTCCAGCTACTCACCGTTCCTGTCAGCAGTTCATACAGTAGAGACCCAAAGCTCCACCAGTCACAGGCTTCTGTCAGCTCCGAAATCCCACCCACCTCTGTGGAACAAGAACACACATGTCCCAGCCTCACCCAAGAGGGTCTTCTCCATTCTCCTCATCCTACCCACCCACTCCCTCTGTCATCCTCAGCCCGCAGCTTCAAACCACACAAAGGCACCCAAGATCTAGGGCCACCCCGGCCCTCCCCGCTGCTTGCCTGGGGCACTGTACAGGTTGTCCGCAGCCTCCCTGCAGCACTGGGGCTCCACTTCTGACCACTGGCCAAAATATGTAAGCCGGATGTGACCTTATCATCCAGTATAAGGGGAGGAATAAGGGGAGGACAAAGATTGAGGGTAGCCACCGCTGAGCAGCTGCCATGGGGAAGGGGGTTCCAGGGCTTCCCCCAGCAGTCACACGGCCGGAGCCAGTGTTGTGCTGGCAGAGCCTCCCTCTGGGCATAGCCCCCTAAGGCCCAGAGACCACAGGGTACTCCTAGGAGCCGCTGGCCTGGGCTCGTGAGGGAGAAAGGGCTTGTTCCCAAGCTCCAGCTTGGCCACTAGGCTTGGGCATAGAGTCCGGGCAAAAGGCCGGTTAGGGACAGGGGAGAAGCAGACAACCTCAGAGGGCCCTGGACTTTGGGGAACTTTCCTTCTCTGTCTGGAGCCTTTGAGGGCCTCCCCACCTGAGGGGTGGGGCAGGGCACCTACCTGCCTGGTCCAGGAGCAGGTTCCGGGGGTTGAGGTCCCGGCACAGCACCCCCTGCTCGTGCAGTGCCTCCAGAGCCACCAGCATCTCCGCCGCCCACTGCTTCACCTGCTCCTCCCTCACGGTCCAGGCGGCCCTGCCACACCCCTGGCTGGCCCCATCCACTGGCATTGACAGGCGGCTCTGACCCCTGCCTCGGCCGCAGCCCCCCAGCACCCGGTCGGCCCCCTCACGAACCCAAGGGAGCCCCTGAGGGGGCCTAGGGTTCGAGCTCTGGCCCACCCTCCTGGCTTGAAGGTGCAGGTGGCCACTTGGGGCCTTCGGAAGGTCCAAGGAGCAGGAAGTGCTAGTCCTGGCTGTGGATTCGTCTTCAGCCTCTCTCTGGGTTCTGATGGATGGGGCCTCCTTGGCTGGGGGAAGGCTCTGAGAAGTCCGAGGAGGCTCCAGGGAGATTCTGTCCTGCCTGGGGGTGTGGCCCCGGGGGAGCCGCGCTGGGGTCAGGAGGCTGAGGTGGGAGTTGAGCTGAACCTTCATCCTCTCCTGGGTGGAGCCCGACCTGAGCCCCGAATGCCCGGGGTGCGCCTGGGAGAGCAGGTGGGACCAGAGAGTGCCTCCTGGGCCATGCAGAGGGAGCGGCGAGCATGGGGACGGGGAGAAGAAGAGCGTGGACACCAGGTCCCTGCCCACTCCCACCTCCCCTCTGTCTTGGGCATGGACCCTGCACCTTCTGCGGATCTTGACCTAGTCCAGTCTCCTCTCCTCCGCTCCCTGCCACCCCCCAGCCTGGCATGCCCTCCCCCCTCATCTCCACCCACCTAAAGCGGGCCCAGCCTCACAGCCTGGCACACCATAGATGCTTAACCCCAAGTAGATGTAAAGTATTGTCAGTGTCCTTGGTTTGGGTGGTGGGTTCGCCAGTGTTCAACATATACCTTTTTGTTAGGGAGACAGGTATAATGAAATTTAAAGGCCAGGCACAGACCTGTGATGACTATATGTCATGACCAAGGGTGTGTAACTCACTAAAAAAAATCATCAATATAATCATCAATAAATATCTGCTACATGACCCAGTTCCTGTGTTTATAGCTTCAGTCACCACTGTCCCATGTGGCCACTCCTGAGGGATGGGCACAGCCCAGAAAAATGAAAAAAGACTGGAGGAAACGGGTGACAGAGGAGACAGCTGCATAAAGGCCCTCAGGCCCGCCTAGGGTGTGGACATCCTCCCCACAATATGGCCTTCCCCCTCGGCACCACAGAGGCTCATGACAGCCTGATCTGCCGCCGGCCTCCAGGAAGGCTGGGTCCCCTGGTCTCTGCTGCACGTCTGGTGCAAGCTACGCCCCTCCCCAGGGCTCAGCATTTTAAGGGGGTAGGTGATGACAATACCCCAAAGGCCTGAGGAACTGGCAGGGGCCCCTCAGGCCCCCTCACCTTGCACGTGCTCCAGGTGAAGGAAGATGGAGTCCTCGCTCACGAAGTACCGCAGCAGCTTGGCCATGTAGGGGACTCCGTGTGGGATGATGGTCAGCCGCTCCCGACTCACCATGTGGCACCTGGGGAGGCTCTGGGAGAGGACAAGGCAGAGACTGCTATTAGGCGACATCCTAGCCCTGGCTTCAGGGGTGTCTAGATGAGGAGTGGGAGCCACCCTGAGAAGAAGCCACCTCCCCCAGTTCCTGACCTGGCCGTCACCCCTGCTTCTCCCTTGGAATCCAGGTCCTCCACCCTCCGGCAAGGACAAGGCACGTGTGTGTGTGTGTGTGTGTGCGTGTGTGTGTGTGTGTGTGTGTGTGTGTGTGTGTGTAGTCTGTCTGGCAGGCAGTGGGCAGGCTCCGGGCAGAGCAGTCAGCTTTTGGATTTGGAGGGAACATAGGCTTCCGATGCAGGTTCTGGGTAGGGGGTGCCAGGAGCTGTGAGAAGTCCCAAGGGGAATGCAGAAAGGCAGGGGTCTGGGTGGCACCTGCCTTCACCACGAAGGTCCCTCCACTTGCTGGGTCCTGGACCAGCTGCACCTGCCAAAGTCCAGGAGACACTGGTCAAGACATGTGCTAGTTGCTAGGGGCTCCATGACCCCAGCTCTAGCCCCCCAGTTTCCTCCACCGAGGCGGACTCATTCCAGGGCAGGGCGGGCGCTGGTGGTGCAGAGATTCCCCTCCCCCACCTGACATCTATCCTGTCCTGCTCATGCACCCTTGCTAGACCTGTAGGTCTCAGCTCAGGTGCTGCTTCCTCCAGGAAGTCTTCCCAAGATTAGGGGGTGGGGTCCAGTGCTGTCTCCAGTGCTCTCTGGGCTCACCCCCAGGGGAGCCTTAGCACACTGTGTCTAATCTCCTGTCTCCCTGCTAGTCTGTGAGCTCCGTGAGGGCAGGGGCCACACCGCCCAGCTCTGCATTCCCAGAGCCCTGCACAGAACAGGGATGTCGCAGGTCCTTCACACACGCAATGTGAGTGGCCCGGAGCCTCGGCTCAGCCTGAGTTGGGGGGCACTTGAGAAGAATGCCCCTCTCTCTCCCTGCCCATGCTGGGCCTGGCCCCACGCAGCCTGAGGGGAGGGTTGAGGAAGCCCTGTTCCGCCTGGAGCCAACCTGGGCCTCTGCTGTAGGAGGGGGCACTTGGGTGCACCGAGGGCAGGAAGGGAAGATTTGCCCAGATGAGGGGCATGTGGACGCTAGACCAGCACCCTGGTGGTGGGACTCCTTGGCCATAGGTCTGCTCTGCACACATTCCCCAGGGAGGGCCTTGGCCAACTGTGGGGGGTGTCATAGGGGGCAGCCGCGCCCTGAGGCCAGGCCATGGGGCCACGGTGAAGGCTGCAGCCTAGATCTGGGTAGGGGAAAGGGCACTGGGTTTAGATCTCGGGCAAGTGAATTGATTTCTTCATCTACCAAACAGGAATTACAAATGCCCACCTTCCCTACATCACTGGTTGCTGAGCCATAAGTGGGAAAGGCCTCTGTGAACGTAAAGGCCGTGAGAACATCAGTTACGACATCTGCCAAGTCACGTTGCCTCTCGGAACCTTGCTGTTCTTAACTGCAAAACGGGGTCATGGCAGCACCTCCTTCAGAGGGTCATTAGGCAGATTCTACGCAAGCCGACCATTCAAGTACGGAAGCAGCCGCGCCTGCCACAGAGCACACCCTCGATCACCTGATAACCCACAGTGATTGTCCCAGGGGAAACCCACGCTGGCGATACAGTGCTGACTCGGTGCTAAGCACCTCACATAGCCTATTTGATTTTATTCCCACAGCCCTACCAGGTGAGAGTTATCAGTGACCCATGTTATTGATGAAGATATTGGGGTTCAGAGAGGTTATGTTGCCGACACTCCCATTGCTAAAAAGTGGTAGAGTCAGGATTTGAATCCAGGCAGGCTGATGCCAGAGCCCTGCATACTTAACTGCAACCGAGGGCACAGCCTGATGACCTTGGCAAGTGCCTTCCCTTGTGGGCCTCGGTTTCCCCATCATCAGTAAAATGAAGGCTGTGGACTAGATGAGCACCCAGCGCCCTCTCTGCAGCAGGCGCGAGGTGTCCCTTCTGACCGCCAGAGGGCTCCCCTCCAGTGGCCAGAGACCAAGCCCAGCCCGGCCTTGGCTCCCTGGCCACACTTGTGCAATGTTTGAGAAAGAAAGGAAGAAAACTCTGGAGTCATTTAGGAGAACAGAGTTTCCCACAAATCCTGACACCCCAGATAATTCCCCACCATCCCCTGCCAAGTGGGATTCCCCGCCACCTTGTCCTGGGCAGGGCCCTCTAACGTACAGTCCAGAAAACCAGCAGGGAAGCCCGAGGAGGCCAGAAATCAAAGCTGATCCACACAGTGAAACAACTGCGTTTTAAAAAAAATACATTAAAACTAACCTATTTATATAGAAAGAATTAGATCCAAATATCAACGGCGATTATCGTGTAGTTTAGGTAGGATGTCAGGGGATTTTTCCCCCTGTGTTTTTTGTTTGTTTTTTTTTTTGAGACAGAGTCTCAGTCTCTTGCCCGGGCTAGAGTGCCGTGGCGTCAGCGTAGCTCACAGCAACCTCAAACTCCTGGGCTCAAGCGATCCTCCTGCCTCAGCCTCCGGAGTGGCTGGGACTACAGGCACGTACCACCGTGCCCGGCTATTTCCCCCTGTTTTAAATTCCTTTCTCTTTTATTAAACCTCAGAAGGGCAGCAGAGGGGGCATTTTCCCACTAATACAATCAAACAAAAAGCCTCCTTCTTTTGCTCAGTGGTTTGGGGGACAGAGCACTTTCTAGTCACTTGGCCTCTGTGAACCTGTTGCATTCTCTGCAGGATAGTTATTAAAATGCAGCACTGTCCAAGAGAACCTCCTGTCATCACGGAAATACAAACCCGCACTGTTTAATATGGAAGCCAAAAGCCACATGAGGCTACTGCACCCTTGAAATGTGGCTGGTGCACCTGAGACACAGATCACTTCCTTTTCATTAATGTCACCATCCACAGTCCTGTGTGGCTAGTGACTGCTGTGTTGGACAGCACAGGATAACGCTTTTTCATAATGTCACAGCTCTGTAAACGAGAACGCGCCCCAACTGTCAGGCGAGCCCTCCTTGTGGGAGGAAGGCAGGTAGAGCTGGGTGCCTGCTCTTGTCTTTTTAAAAAGGGCAATCTTTTTTTTTTTTTTTAAACCCATTGAGTTCTTGGGACACAGGAACAATTAGAGCTTTGGTGAAACACAGTAAACCTTTTCTTTTTAAAGATGCACAGGCCGGGCGCGGTGGTTCACACCTGTAATCCTAGCTCTCTGGGAGGCCGAGGCAGGCGGAGTGTTTGAGCTCAGGAGTTCGAAACCAGCCTGAGCAAGAGCGAGACCCCGTCTCTAGTAAAAATAGAAAGAAATTAATTGGACAACTAAAAATATATAGAAAAAATTAGCCGGGCATGGTGGCGCATGCCTGTAGTCCCAGCTACTTGGGAGGCTGAGGCAGGAGGATCGCTTGAGCCCAGGAGTTTGAGGTTGCTGTGAGCTAGGCTGACGCCACGGCACTCTAGCCCGGGCAACACAGTGAGACTCTGTCTCAAAAAAAAAAAATAAATAAAGATGCACAAAGTATCAAAATCCCAGGAGGAATCTCTCGTGGAACAAACAAGTCCAAAAGCTTCAAACAGGTTCTCAAACTCAAAGGCCCACAGGGCTGGACCTGTGAGCAAAGTGGGCAGCCCCTCCCCTGCTCTCTGCAGCCACATGGGAATGTGAACCCAGCATCTCCAGATCTGATTTTTCAAGAGAAGCAGGAAATTTGGACTTTTATAAAAATGTTGGTAAAATTTTTTTTAGAACACCCCTGTGTTCCAGCCAAATAAAAAACAAGAAGTGACTTGGATGACCTTTTTCTTCCCATCCCGGACTCAGAGCCTGGCTCCTAGACAAGGCTCAGCAAACGCCCCGGGATGTCTTCCCGGCCCCCCGGCTCCCTGAGAGCAGCCCCTTGGGTATTCCAGCTGTCTGCTTGTCTCTGCCCCACCCACCTCACTGCTCCCTGCCACCCCGCACCCCTGCTAGCATTTCTTCAGCCCCTGAAGACCCCCTACCCAGCCCAGTTAACCCTAACAGCTGGACACCTTTGGGGACACTCAGGGATCATCCTGAGCAAGCCCTTTGCTCCCTCCCTGGGCCTGCGGGCTGCTGCTGGCCGGCACTGCCTCCCGCCCGGATCTGCCTGGGCAGAGCCAGGGGACTGGAACCAGGGCTGGCCGCAGGGCCCAGGCCCAGTGGCTGTAACTAACACCTTTCCTAATTTGGGGAGAGTGCCGCTCCTGGCGTGGGAGTCACACGGGAAGGGGGTGTCAGGAGGGAGGTGCAGTCCATAGTTGAGTGCCCCAGAAAGAGTGAAAAAGGAAAGAAGGGCTTTCCGTCTGCATGGCCTCACCTCGGAATACTAGATTCCTAAAGTGCTTTCCTGGGGCTAAACAAATTTGGGGAATTCTGTGTCACAGATCGCCCTCTTAGAGACTCCTGGTGTACATTTGCATCCTAAAAGCTCCCAGAACTCCTATAATTAAGAAACTCTGTTTCCCACACCTATTCAACTGGGAACCCCTCTCATCACAACACCTATGGTTCAGCAGATTCTCACTCAGAGAAATGGTATCAGTCACCTCCCCAGCCTGTCCACGGGAGTGGCTGTGCTTGGCCAAGGTCGGGCTGCGGCCACTGACACTCTCGCAGTGGGAGGGGGACTGCCGCAGATGGGAGCTGGCTGGGCCTTCGCTGATAGTCTGGGGCCTGTTCCAGGGCCCGGGAGAAGCAGCTGGAGCAAGGCCCAGCAATGGGAGCCTGCGTGCCTCCCCACTTACTCCTGTCACTTGCACTTAGAGACATCAGACAAGTATTCAACGTCTTAGTGTGTGCCAGGCCTTTCCCCAAAATTATCTCATTTTACTTCCCAGATCACCATGTGGGGGAGATTTCTGACACCACTTGACGGACAAAGAAGCCAAAGCTCGGGGTTGAGGGGACTTGCCTGTGGTCATCCTGGGCATTGCCCAGGCACAGGGCGGGCCCCCAGGCAGCACGTCATTGTCTCACGTGTCCTTTTCTCTGTGGGCCCCTCGATCTGCCAAAATCACCTGACGAATATTTTGAGTCACAGATTCCTGGACTCAGTCCTAGAAATGCTGACTCCACAAGCCCGGGGTAGGGCCTGGGCATCTGTGTTTTTAGGGAGCTGCCCGGGCAATTCGGAAAAACAGCTTTAGCAACTGCTTGGGTATCTCCGGGTTGGGACAGAGGGGATCTAACACCGGCTCCTGGCATTTGACCTGGCCATTTGCTCTTCTGACCCCTCTAACGACAGTGCCCTAGGTAAGGGTGGGATGCCGCCTCCTATATTCCTGTCTGCCCTGAAATTAACGGAAAGGGTACAAGATGGGGTTGGGACCAGGGTGAAGGTAGAGTAGGGACAGGAGAGAAAGAAAAGGCAGGGTGGCCAAGACCCTGGACAAGACGCAGGCCGGCATGGGCCCTCTCCTGACAGGCTTTTGGGGATGAGCACATTCCAGCGGCAGGAAGTTCCCAGCTGTGCGTGGTGGGGAGAGACTCTTGGCTTTGGCCCCGGGGAGCGGAGAGACTGTGGGTGGGGCCTGTGGGAAGCGGGAAGTGGCAGTGGGCAGGGCGCCCTGGGCACAGCTCCTCCTGTGGTTTCTGTCTGGACTCTCCCAGGGGGAGGTTTCCTGGGTCTGCGCTGGGGAGCTATGCAGAGGCGTCTGACAGCCTCGTGTTTTCCTCTCCAGGACATGCGCGTTGGGTGGGGGAGAGGTGGAAACCGCTGGAGGAGTGAGGGCAGCGGCTCCAGACCTGCTCCCACCATATCCCGACGCTCCCCAACCCCCCGCAGCATGGTGTCCACTCACTCACCTTCTCAAGGACCCCGACCACTCGGCAGCCCCTCAGCTGCTCCAGGGCAGAGCTCAGCGTGCGGATGGGCCGGAGCCTCAGGCTGCTGAAACCCTGTGGGGGAGGGAGATAGGCCACCACATGCAGCCTCAGGGCCGAGCCCCTCTCAGCCACGGCCCCCTCACCAGGCTGAGGGCAGGGGCTTCTGGCTGCCAGCAGAGCAGTGGGGCCATGGCAGGCAGGCCTAGGGTACAGCAGACTCCACCTCACAGGGGCAGGCTGAGCAGAGGAGCTGGCCTCGACTGGCAGGCGGCCACACTGCTCCAGGGTGGCCAGGCTGATCTCTCCGCTCAGCCCTTGTCCGAGGCCTAGGAAGATCTCAGGGCTCCAGAAGCCCCGTCTCCAAAGCCCCATCCATAGGGTGGGGGCAGGGACACAACCTGGGAACATGTGGGTTCAGGGAACAAGCCTTGAAGACAAGCACCTGCTTTGGGGAAAGGCGCCCTTACAAGAGACAGCAGGCCCAGGAGGGCTCATGTGCATCTGTGCCCGCCTGTGGGATGAGAAGTTGCATGCATTTTCAACCCCTCCTGAGCGCTCACTTGCTTGGGAAAAGCCACGTGGGGAGAGTCTCCGTACACATGTGTGCAGCAGGCATGCACACACGTGGTGATGGGGTCTGCTCCAAATGCTCGCTGGATGCCAGTTCACAATAGAAGCAGGCTCTGGAAGCTCTGAGCGTGTACACATGGAAGCGTGTATATGGAACCGCGTGCGAGGTTGGTAGATGTGTACATACGCACACCCAGTGCTCTGTGCGGGAGCCAGACTGGACCGGAGATGACTCAGTACGTGTGTGAAAATGAATGAACCGGGAGGCGTGGGAGAGAGGAGGCCAGGTGGAGGACGGGTAGGCAGCGCTGGCACCGTCCAGCCTGACTTTCACTTTCCACTGCCCGGCCCGCCCTCTCCCCTCTTCCCCCAGAGCCTTTGGGGAGGGTGTCCTCACCGTGCCAGGGCTGGCTCCGCTGCTCAGCGTCCGCTGCAGGTGGCAGTTGAAGATCTCCTCTGCCCGCCGCAGGTACTTGGTAATTTTCAGCTTGACAGCCTCACATCGCTCCTTGTTGGGGTCGACTGTGGGGGACGAGGGTCATCAGGGCCCACCCCTGCCCCCCATCCGGCCTTGGGGGGTTGGGCTTGCAGCTCCCATTGCCTGCCCTCTGGTCTCTGCAGAGGACAGCTCCTGCTTCTAAGGCTAGTTCAGCAGATTCTGCCCCCAGATCTGTTCTCGAGCCCCTCCTTGGGGATGGAGATCAGCAGAGGAGGAGGAAGGAAGCTGGCAGGGGAAGATTGAGAACCACGGTCACCCCTTAGCCAACAGCACTTTACAGTTGGCACCTGCCACCTCACTGGCCGCCATCACACCCTGGGAAGGGACAGGGTGGGGATTTCCATGTCCATTTTTTCAGAGGAGGAGACAGAAGTTCCAGAGAGCACTGCTTCTTCCCTCTTGGATGCCCAGCATGAAAATGGCCAGGGTCGGGACCAGAATCGAGGGCAAAGGAATTCACTGGATAGATTGGAGGTCTGGCAGGATGGTAGGAAGGATGAGTCAGGGCCCAACTCCTGCCCTTGGCCTGGCCACCAGGGCCTGCAGGAGTCTCAGACTGGCCTCAGCACCAGCGTCACCTCCAGCATGGAAGTGCCTCCCTCTGTCCGGGAGAGGCCTCTGCTCTCACCTCCAGGCCTTGGCTGTTCTCTCTCTGGAACGCCATTGGCCCTGTAGCTGGACGTTGCCTACCATTCTTCAGTTGCAACTTTTAGAAAATGCCTTATGCCAGCCCAGTCTGGCCTCAGTTTTCCTCTTCCCTCCCTTCACTTCCCCCTCATTCCTCTTCCTACCTGGGACTATAGTTATCTATTATCAACTTGTGGGTCTCCCCCCTACTAGAATGCAAGCTCCTGAGGGCAGGAGCCCAGCCCAGCCAAGCTCCAAGGGCAGTCAGGTGTAGTGAGCCAAATACACAGCCTTTGAAGACAAAACTGTTCAAAGCCAAGCTCTGCCATTTGACAGCTGTGGAGCCTTGAGCAAGCTATTTAACTGACCCAAGCCTCAGTTTCCTCATCCAGAAAATGGAAACAAAAATGGTTCCTATATACTTGGAACTACATGCAACCCATATAAAGTAATTTCTATTACTGTGAGGCTCAGATGAGTTAATCTAGGTAAAGCCCTTAGGATGGTGCCTGGCATATAGGAACTGCTTAATACATGCTAGCTATATTATTATCCTTCACAGAGGCCCTACAGGGCCAGCACAGTGCCCTGCTCACCCACTATGGGTGGACAGAGGACAGGACAAGAGGATGACAGGACATGCCCTGCAGTGGCCCTTCCCCACTTGCCCCAACCCTTCCCAGCCCTGGCCCTCACCATGTACGCCACGGAGCAGCATGTCCACGCCATTCTGGTAGTGATTGAAGGCCGCCTCATAGTCCTCACTAACGTCGCGCTCCAGGGCCAGCCGGATCTGTGTGGCCGCGTCCACCAGGTAGTCACGCTTGGTCATGTCAGGTGCCCCCACAGCCACCCGGTTCTGAATCTGCTCCAGGTACACGCGGGCCTGGGAGCGTGCTCGTGAGCAGGGCTCCGCCTCCAGGCTGGGGCTGGGCAGGCACTCGCAGAGGACCAGGCTCATGGCTGCCCTGTGGCTGGGGTCTGGAACGAGCAAAGGAATTAGGGAGGACCTAGCTGGGAGCAACACCCCTAACCACACCCCAGTTTCTACCACTGAATACTGGGGAGACTAATATTCACCTCCAAAGGCTGGAGGGATCAGAGCTTCCAAAGGTATCTTCATCGACTGATCCAGATCCTTCCTAAGTGGTGGCAGCGATAGAATAATACACAGCTTAGGGCTCTGTTTGCCTTTCCATTCAAATTCACCTCAACAGGAACTTCTCTGCATCTACTATCTGTCGAGCACTGGAGACAGCTGAGGATGTCTATGATCCACGGTCGCCTTCTCAGGGCCTCCACAGAGCAAGGCTGGTGTCTAGTGCACCTTAAGCACATGGAGGCCATGCTCTGGGCACAAAGCCTGTTCCCCATGCTGTTCCCCCCACTCTCCCTGTTCTCCCTGCCCTGCTCCTACTGTGGAAATAGCATTTACCCTTCGGGGTTCAGCTCAATGGCACCTCTCCCTGGACAGGATGGATTGTCCCTGCTTTGTTTGGTTTCCCTTGGTCCTGAGATCAGTGTGGTCAGTGAGTGAGGACCCCCCTCGGAGCCAGCAGCGAGCTGGGCACAGAGCTGGGCCTTAAGGCCTGTTGACAGAATTACTGAGGGGCAGATTCAGCGCCATGCTGGATGGGGTTAAATAAGAGAGGGCAGGGCGACCCAGCCCCAGGGAAGGCATGGCTCTGTCCTCTCAGCCCTGTCTTTGAGAAGACAAGGAGGCCATGTGGTCTCCTCCCTGGGCAATGTGTGACACACATGGCTAGAGGGATAAGAGCAGTGACTGTGGGAAAGGAAGGGGCCGAGAGAGGCTGGCAGAACTGCCCCTGCCCTCACTGCTGCCCGAGGCCACCCTGCTCTCTCAGGTCCCACTGCGCAGGGCAGGGCCGAGGCCTGGAACTTCCAACCCCAGGCCATTTCAGCCTTTGTGGAGAGAGTGAGGAGAGAACAGGATGTGGGGTGGGGTGGGGTGGAGAGGGAAACCCACATCCCCACCTGGTGGGCAGCTGAACCCTGGCCAAGATGCAGCACCTTCCCTGCTTGGCCCGGCCTGGCCCAGCCAAGGGGGGCATGCGGCTCTGAGGCCTTGATCCGGGGGGCGCCAAGGCCAGATGGGTCGGGTTGGGTCTGGCTGGGTCGGGCAGGGCTGGGCAGGGCTGGGTCGGCCTGGCTGCAGAGGCCACCCCGCTGGACCGGGTCCTGCCAGGCAGAGTCGCCTGGCCACGCCTGGCCACAGCAAGCGGCGCGTGCAGCCCGCGAGTCCCCGGCACGCAAGGTACACGGGGAGCGGCCGCAGAAGGCCAGGCTGGGCGCGAGTGGAGAGGGCCCCTCGCCCGGGGAGGATGGAGGAGGAGCCGGGCAAACACCGTACCTGCCCGAGCCGGGAGCTCGGTCCGCCGGGCTACACCTGCCCCGGCCGCCACCGCCCCTTCACCCCTGCGGGCGAGCGTGCACCGCGGGCCGCTGCGTTCGGCCTCGCAGCCAGCTGCGGGCTCCGGCCGGCGCAGCCCGGCCATTGGCTGCAGATGAGCTCATCCCCCGGCGTTAGAATAAACCGCCAATCAGCGGCCGGCTCGGCTTCCGCCCGCCCTTAAAGCCGCAAGGTCTGCGCCGCCCGGCGCTGAGAGGGGGTGCGGCTGAGCGAGTGGGGAGGGAAAGGGAGGGGAAGGCAGTCTACAGTCTACAGTCCCCCGGGGATGTGGGGGACGCTGCTTCAGCAATCTAGGCCCACTTCTAGGACTTTTCTCATTCATTACTTCATTCATTTATTCACTTATTTAGTGGTTACGTACGAGAGTCAACCATGCACGAGCTGGATGTTGAGACACGGCGGTGGACCAGAGGCTCTGCTCGCGTCCGCTTGGGATTTACAGTATCCCTAGTGGGGGGTACAAGGACTAGAGAACCAAACGATAGAGTTGGTGTTTCCTTTCACTGAGATCAGAGTTGTGAGGGAGAAGCAAGCAGTACAGGGGCGAAGACCCGCTGTGTGTGCCTGTGTTTGTGTGTGTGTGTGGGGGTGGGTGTGTGGCGGGGGGAGGGGGTATCAGAAGGTTTTCCGGAGGACGCGATGTCTGAACTGAGCTTAAAATTCAAGACACAGTCCTCAGCTGCGCCCTCAACGCTGCCTGGACTCCCACGGCCCTTCCCTACTGCACTTGCTCTCCTGCAGATACCCTTTCACCCCTCGCCCCTGTCCTGAGGCCCAGCCCCTCCGCCTCATCCTCACCCCTAGTCAGAGCTGTCGCTTCCTCCTCCCCTCAAAAACACGGGAGCACAAACTCTCCCTGGCTTCTATCTCCCAGCCGCCAGGCCTGTGTCCACACCCTGCCTCCCCACCTCTTTCCATAGATGGCCCGCCTGCGCCCCCTCGCAGGCCAGCCTTCCACTTGCCATCAGGCGATGGGACACCACTCCAGCAATTCTTCCCTTTCTCCTACATTATTAATTTTTGGCTCCCACTGGATCATTCCTAACTGACACAAACATAATGCTGTTTCTCCCATCTTAATAGCAAAACAAGAAAACAAAACAAAATATACTCTTTGCCTCACTTCTCTCTTTACCTACCATCCTAGGTTTGCAGCAAAACTCCTTAAAAGAGATGTCTATACTTGCTGTCTCCAGTTTCCTTCCTTCCACTTTCTCCTGAGCCCCTTCTGATGACGCTATCTTTCCCAACATTCCTCTGAAACTGCTCTTGGTCAAGTTACCAGTCCCCTTTGGGTTGCTAAACCCAATGGCATTTTCTCGGTCCTCATTGTACTTGACTTATCAGGAGCATTGGACCCAGGTGACCATGGCCTTCTCTGCAAACACTTTCTCCCCAGGCTTCCTGGACCCACAGGCTCTTGGTTGACTCCTGTCTCACTGGCTGCCCCTTCTGAGTTTCCACTGGTGGCTCATCCCTCCTTGTCGACTTCTGAGTGTTAGAGTGTCCCAGGGCTGGGTCCTTGACACCTTCTTCCTTCCCTCTATTCTTATTCTCTTAATGAGAGATTGTACCTCGTCTCATGATTTGACACATTATTCTTCCATATACTGGTGATTCTGTATTTATATTACTTAGCTCTCACTTCTATACTAGACTTAACTATTTAACAGTCTATGAAACATCTCAAGTAAACAAGTCCAGAACTAAACTCTTAAAACACAACCTACACAATGGAACAAAATATTTGGAAATCATATATTTGGTAAGGGTCTAGTATCGGAGTATATAAAGAACTCTTACAATTCAACAATAAAAAGACAAATAACTCAGTTTTAAAATGGGCAAAGAATTTGAATAAATATTTCTCCAGAGAAGATATGCAAATGGTCAATAAGCACATGAGAAGATGTTCACCATCGTTAGTCACTGGAGGAATACAAATTAAAACCGCAATGTGATGCCACTGCGCACCCACTGGGATGGCCATAATCAAAAAGTTAACGAGTGTTGGCAAGGATCCGGAGAAGTTGAAACCTTCATACATTGCTAATGAGAATGTAAAATGGTGCAGCTGTTTTGGAAAGTAATTTGACAGTTCCTCAAAAAGTTAAAATAGAGTCACCGTATCACCCAGCAATCCACCCCTAGGTATATACTCAAGAGAATTGAACACATACGTTTATATGAAAACTTGTACATGAATGTTGACAGCAGCATTATTCATAATAGCCAAAAAGTAGAAACAGGGTCAAATGTCCATCAAATGATGACTAGATAAATAAAATGTGATATATCCATAAAATGAAATATTATTCAGCCATAAAAAAGAATGAAGTACTGATTTATGCTACAACATGGATGCAACTTGAAAACATTATGTTAGGTAAAGGAAACTAGATACAAAAGGCCACATATTGTATAATTCCATTTATATGAAGATTCCAGAATAGGCAGATCTATAGAGACAGAAAGTGGATGTCAGGGAGGGGGAATGGATATGCGGTTTCTTTTGGGGTTATCAAATGTTCTAGAATTAGATAGTAGTGAGGGTTGCACAACTTTGTGAATATACTAAGAACTGCTGAATTGTACATTTTAAAAGGGTAAATTTTATAGTATGTGAATTATGTCTCAAGGAAAAAAATGTATCAGAATAAAAAAGAAAAAAAAAAAACACCCTGGACTCTTTTTTTTTTTTTTTTCTTTTTTGAGACAGAGTCTCACTCTGTTGCCCAGGCTAGAGTGCCATGGTGTCAGCCTAGCTCACAGCAACCTCAAACTCCTGGGCTCAAGGGATCCTCCTGCCTCAGCCTCCTGAATAGCTGGGACTACAGACATGTAGTTTACTACAGGCATGCCTGGCTAATTTTTTCTATATTGTTTTAGTTGTCCAGTTAATTTCTTTCTATTTTTTTAGTAGAGATGGGGTCTCCTTCTTGCTCAGGCTGGCTCGAACTCCTGAGAGTTAAGCGATCCACCCGCCTCGGCCTCTCAAAGTGCTAGGATTACAGGCGTGAGCCACCGCGCCGGCCCCCCTGAAACCTCTCCCAACTCCATCCTGATGACTCACTTGTCCTGTTGGTCAGACAAAAAATCCTGCAACCATCCTGACTTCTCTAATTTTTTCACACCCCACATCAAAGTCATTAGAATACCATAATGGTTATTCCTTCCAAATATATTCAGCATCCAATTGCCTCTCACCCCCTCCACTGCTATGATTCTCATAGGAGCATCTTTATCTCGCGCCTGATTTACTGTAGGAGATTCCTGTTTCTCCCCTTGCCACACTAGAGGCGATTCTCAACATTGCATCGGGGGAATCCTCTCGAGGTACAAGTCAGATTCTGTCCCTCCTCTGCTCAAAATCCTGCAAGGGCTCCCATCCTACTCTAAGAAAAAATTCAAAGTCCCTGCTATGGAGTCCAAGGCCCTCATGGTCACTTCCCCACACCACCACCCCATTCCTTCTTACCTTCTACTAACCTCACTCATTCGACTCCAGCTTGGAGACTGCCCCTGGAACACACCAGGCCACTCTCACCCCAGGGCCTTTGCCCTGAAGCTGCCATCCTCTTGGAATAGTCGGCCTCCAGATATTTGCCTTGTTATTCCTGTCCCTATTTTGCTCTGATGTGACTTTCTTGTGAGACCTGCTCCAACTACACCTCACCCCCAGCACCTCCATTCTCCCTCACCCTGCTCTTCCATCTTCTATCCCATTGCGCTTAACCCCATTAGTATGTTGTGTAATTTCTTCACTTGTTTCTATGTTTATTTTCTTTCCCACCCCCAGCATAAGATCCACATGGCCAGGGTTTGTCTGCTTTGTTCACTGCTATAGCCCAAGTGCCTAGAACAGCATCTGGCCCATGGTGTTACTCAATAAATATTCGCCGAATGAATGAGTGAATGCTAAAGAATGAGAAGGAATTAATCAGGAACAGAATATGCATAAATGCCTTAACAAACTAAGGGAGGAAAAATAACATTTGCTCATCAGAAATAAAGTCCTTTGATAGAAGTTAACATCGATTCATGATAAAGACAACCTCTTAACTTGCTTAATAAACTCTAAACCAACTCATGAACTTTAATTCTTAACCTCATAAAGAGTTATTTACCAGAAGCTTAGAGCAAACACCACGTGCAACGGTGGAGCATCGGCAGCATTCCCATGGTCCAGCTGTTCTCCAGCATGTGGTAGGATCCCACTTCCCTCCTCCTTTGGAAGTTGGGCCCAGACACGGCATTTGCTTTGAAATGCTATTGAACAGAACATGTGTTGCTTTAGGGTGGGAACTTCCAAAGCCAATGCATGATTCATCTGACCCCTTCCTCCTGCCATGGTGTCACAGAAGCACCTGTCCATGGAGACACGGAGCCTCCATCGGCCTGGATCTCTGGGAAAGGGAACCTCCTCCCCCATCCCATGACTTGTGTTGGACGTGAAGTGTGAGTGGAAAATAAATTTTTATTGCATTAAGCCACTAGATTTTGGGATTGTTTGTTACTGAGGTATCTCTTGACCTATCCTGAATGATATACCCAACATCTTCAGAAACGAGCCAGTGCTTCTACTCTTCTTCAATGTCCTGGAAGTTACAACTAATGAAATAAGAAATTAAAGACAAACAAGAGGTTTAAGGATTGGAAAGGAAGAGGCCAAACTGCCATTGTTTGTGGTGATGTGATTGATCATTCCACCTGGAAAACCCAAGAGCAACAATTGGGGAGTTCAGCAAAGTGGTTGGACACAAATCAATATTAATAAATCAATAGTTTTCCTATATATCAGCAATAACAATTTGAAGATGTAATAATAATTTTAAAATCCCATTCACCACAGTAACAAAAACTATGAAATACTTGGGAATAAACTAATCAGAAATATATAAGGCCTTCATGGAGAAAACAGTAGGCTTGTGCTGAAGGATGCAAAACAGACCCAAATAAGTGGATACACGCGTTC